GGTCCGCAGCCGAGTTCGATTGCTGTATTCACACCTGCCCAAAAGGTCCGCACCAAGGGGGGAAACGAACTAGAGTTCGATTCAATCGAACCAAACAAGGCAGGTGTGAATACACCCTAAGAGTCCTTGGTGGTTTATGTATATGAAGAAGTCGCTCCAAATATGATGGTGTTGCCAAGTTGCGTAACGCTTTATAAACTAGAATCAATAATTGTGATCAATAAGTGAGACTTAAATAGGTGTTGTTACATGCTGTCACATACCTGTTAAAAGTCTGGCAGCAACGTTCTGGACCAATGGAAGACAGAGATTTAACAGAGATTGGCTCACACCCACATACAGAGAATTACAATAATCTAGTCTAACAGAGATGAAAGCTAATCTTCTTAAAATTACAAGATGACAAAATGGTTTAACCTTTGCTTTGGATCTCAGATATAAGAAACAGGATTGGACCTCAGAATGTGTTGATCAAATTTCAGAGAGTCACCAAACTAGGCTACATCAAGATTCTTTGCCACAGATTTACAAATCTGGGAGAAATTTTGGGGGTCAAGAGCCCCAAACCAGATTTAAATTTTGCTTTCATTTAAATTTAGTGACATTCATGATTTGGTACTCGGCATGTATCCTCTGTATTTAACCCATCCATTTAGTGCACACAGATTAGGAGTAGTTGTCACGGTAGGCAGAGGGAGAGAATCCAAAAGGCGAAAAGCAGGTGAAACAACTCTTTAATAGAAATAAGGCAAAGCCGCTATGGCCGATCAACAAAGGAAGTTCACAATAAAATATTCAGGTTGAGACTGAGATGCTCAAGCGGCAGGTCCGGAAGGCTTGTGTGAGGCGAGACTAGTGATGTTACCTCTGACACCGACGCTCCGAAGCTTGCTTCAAACTCGAACGGTCCTTGCAATGAACCACTGCTTCGGAGCTTGTATCATTACGTCATTAGTCACGTGAAAATGACGTCTGAAGCAAACACACTGCTTCACTCCTGTAGTGAACCACCTGACTGCTTTGACAGCCCAATCCAGTGTTGACAGCTGGCGGCTCTATTTCTTATAAAAGTGAAGCCAAACCATGGCAACACCGTGGGTTGTAGTAGTCGGTGTTTGGATTGGTGTTATTGTTGAGGAGAGTGGATTGAGTTTATTGTTGAGGAGAGTTTATTGTTGAGGAGAGTGGATTGAGTTTATGGTTTACTGGGCCACCCACAAAGCAATACATCCTCATTTATACCAGCTTTCTAAACTGTTTTTGTGTACTCCTGCATCATCTGTTCCATGCGAGAGGATATTCTCTAAAGCTGGTGAAATTGTTTAAAAAAAAAGAAATCGCCTTTCACCAAAGACTGTGAAGAAAATAATATTTCTGAAAAAAAAACCATACCATTTAATGAACACTTTGTATAAGCCTTCTGTATGATGTAGCCTACCTAAAGCACACCTTCTGACACATTTTATTATTATTAATTTGAGAACATATGAACATTGTTACATAAAAATATGCATCAAAGACAGAAACTTCAAAAACTCTCTGCTACATTATACAAGCACAACCAGTTACACAAGCACATCCTTTTCAACTTACAAAAATAACAGTCCCACCAGTTAACAAGTTATGGAGTTCTGCTTCCCACAGCTGATAAAGCTTTCACACATGATAGGCTACTGCCCTGCTAAAAAAAACTATAGACACCATTACAGAAATTCTATTGGATTTAATGGTTTTCATGGGAATTTTATTGGTTATAATGGAAATTATAGTGGTGTCTGTGGGTCTCTACTGATTATGTGTTGGGTTCTATTGGTGGGGGCATTAAATCCTAATGGAATATGTGCCAAACACACTACAAAAAGAATTCTGTAGTGGTTTAAATGGTAAAAGCCAGTTTAATAGAAACCATTAGAATTTCTGTGATGGTTTCCAACTTTTTTTAAGCTGGTCTGATCTTCTGTCCTTGTCTAAAGAAATAATTACACACACATCATGCTTAATGTTCTATTATCAAGGTGAACACATGAAATTCACCAGTGTCTGTAAACTGCAGCTACATAAATGAGTTTCACAGCACTACACTGTTTCAGCTTTGATCGCCTCGGTAAACACGTCATAAACGGGGCGTTAACATAAGCCTACTGGCATTTTATGGTTGTCAGCTTTGTTGCATTACATTTACTTCACCAGGAGATGGTGCTGCAATTTCTATCTGAATGAAGCTTCGAGTAATGAACCATTTTCGACACAATTGTATCGGAAAGCAATAATGCTTCGAAACGCTTCATTTGGCCATCACTAGGCGAGACCAGGAATGCTGGTGAGGCGTCGAATCTTCGGCAACTCCACGGCACAAAACTGGGCAAAGCACAAATCAGGTAACATACAGCAGATAATAATCAGACAGCGAAGGACAGAATAGGACAGGACAGGACTGGACTGGACTGGACTGGACTGGACTAATATTCTGTCGATAGAACACAATAGTCAGTAACATACTACGGACAATAATAATCCGACAGAGAAGAGGAGAAAGAGAGAGCTAGAAATAGAGAGACTAATGACAGGAGATAGAGAGCAGGTGTGGGGATGAGAGAACGAGGAACAGCTGAAGGAGATGAGTGAGTGATAAAGGGTGTGTGTGAAAGAGCGGATGAGAGAAAGAGAAATAGGAACAGAGAGAAGCCTGCAGATGGAGACAGAGAGAGAAAAGAGAGAAAAGAACCAGGATCATGACAGTAGTGAGTAGTGAACACACACACACACAATGCACAAAGTAAACACACCCGGAGCAGTGGGCAGTCATTTTTGCTGTCGCACCTGTAGAGCAATTGTTTGTTTAACAACCCTTTCATGCATGAATTATAAAAACCTCAGTCAGGATTTTTTTTCCTATGTTTTTATTGCTCTTAGGGCATGGAAAACAAGATTTGATTTTTTTTGTTTTTTTTTTACAAATTTTTCAAGGAGATTTTCAGATGACCACTTGAGTGGACAGCATGCGTTTATGGTTTAAACTGAAGAGATACTGTATTAAACATAACACAATAATAAAAACAGATGTAGTATGTGTAATAAACAAACCAATTAATACAATTGTATAAAATCATGTGAAAACTATAAAATATATACAAAAAATAAAAATGCAAAATATAGCACAGGCAATTGAACTTCATACAAGTTAGACTTCACATATCTTTGATATCAGGACATGAGGACGTGATTCCATCAGAAATTTCTACAGCCTCTCAAGGTACAACTGTGGAAACCACTCAGATGCTCCCTCAGTGTGCAGAGTATGTCAACTTACCCTTATTAGCTGATAATTCTGATTATGTTCAAGATGGACATATTTCTAGCATAGCCCTCCTCTGAGAAAACCTAGCAACTACTAGGTTGCGACATTCCTACTTAAAGAAACTCATTAAAAGAAACGTGCATTATGTAATCAGATTACTTTTTGATCTAACAAGTAAAGTAATGCATTACAAGCAACATGCATTACGTAATCAGATTACTTTTAATCTAACAAGTAATGTGCATTACGTAATCAGATTACTTTTTGATGTTACGAGTAAAGAAATGCATTACAAGCAACATTACGGAATCAGATTAATTTTGTATCTAAAAAGTAAAGAAATGCATTTCAAGTAGGCAGATAAAATGAGTTAAGTAATGCATTACAAGTCACATACATTATGTAATTACATTACTTTTTTGATGTCAATGAAATTTACATTCTAATAACACAAATACATTTATTCATAGTAAAAAAAATGCTGTTTATTTTCAAAAACAACACTCACAGTATAAGTACAGGTATGAATTGTAGCTGAAATATAGCCATTGATGCATGAGGTCCACTATAGTGGACAGATGATTAATCAGAATTTTCTCCCAATCTAAAATCAAAACTTGGAAAATTTAACTGTGATATGACTCATTAGATATCGCTTGATGCTACAATATTTTTCAAGAATATAAAATTCTCCTAGGATTGAAGGAATGGGTGGATATTCCGGAGAAGCTTGGCATTTCTGACTGACCCTTTGCCATCTTGGTTTGGAGGGGGGAAAAATCGACACACAACGGCTTGCAACTTGGTTGCAATGTATATGATGATGCACCAGGGTCCACTGTAGAGATTGATGTGCAACTATGCCATCAAACCTGTGCAAATTCAAGAAAATGATTTTTTAATAGCTATCCACTGTAGTGACCTCTATGCATTAAAGGGTTAAAACGAACACTTAAACTTGCGTGAAGGATGAAAAACATTTGACATCCACACATGGGCTGAAAAACACTTGCCATCCACACATGGGATGAAGTAACTTAAACAAATCGCAATGGCCGAGTCTTCTAATTCCATATGATTAGGAACTTGCATGTGGTTTAATATTTTCGAGTCAATTGATTCCACCTACCAATCATATGAGAGGAACGCAGCTCTAACTAACGTTACAAGCCTATCAGAAGCAGAGCAGGGCGGGTCCTGGCAACACAGCGTGATTGAGATCCATACGCCACGTTAGCGAAAGTTGGTGTCTAAAGAGAAGTGTGCCAAGTTCAGTTCCTGTGGTAAAATAAAATGGAAATGCCACATTATAAAGTCACCACTGCCATTGGTTTGTATACAGCAGTCTACTGCAAAATATCAATGTAGCCTACTTCTCAAGATAAATGTTAATCAAAATCAGAATATTTCACTTAATTTAGATAGCCTTTTTATTGAGGTCTTGGGTCAGTGGTGTTTTATTCAATTTTACAGCGTTTGTGTTTGCACACCAATATTAATGTTAAGATCAAGCTTCAGGCAATATTTGACAAGAGTTTTTGTTCTGTTCTGTAATCAATGTCACTTATATTTATATATATATCAATCTCACATGAGGTGTTTAAACAAGTAGGCTATGTTGAATGTGGTCTCTGTGAGTGTGACTTCCGCCCATATATAATCACCCTCTGTTGGTTTCAAAGCTCGAAAAGTACAGTTGTGAAAGCAACACTATTTCATCAGGTAATGCATTTTAGTTGTGGAAACGACGCAAAGATCATACAGCATCTTATTTGTAAGTGCAATTTATTGTATATCTTGATATATTGTACTTGATCAACGTTTCCTAAGAATCCTATTTTTCTTTGATTTTATTTTGTTTGATTTATTTATCTCACAGGTCTACTAGTATGGTGTCAAGCTGTAGAAACAGAACTTACAAAACTGGGACAAAATGTGACTATAAACTGTGATCTTGGTGAAAAAGAGATTTATTGGATGGTGCTAAAGCCACCAAATCGCCCAGTTATGATATTACGGTTATTTTCAACCTCTCCAACTCCTTTTTACTACGATATAGGATTCAGACCCAAATATTCAGTGCAACCTAAATATTGTCTATTCATAAAAAATGTCACTGTTGATGAGTTAGGCATTTATTACTGCATGACCACTGAAGCACCTCCAAAGTTCAGCAACGGCACCAAACTACACATCATTGGTGAGTGAGCTTCCGTGATCAGACCATATGGATGTTTAGTGCTTTGGTTATTTAAATGTATGGCTATTTTTTTACAGAACCAACTCAATTAACTGAGTGCCGGAACAACACTGTTGAGCAGAATCACACCGTAGTGAATTATACTGAGCTGATCCAGAGACCATGGAGAATTATTATCCTCATATCTGGCCTGATGCATGGTGTTCTGGTCATTGTCGTCATTGGTGAGTTCATTTCATTGATTGAATTTAATTTGATTGAATCTATTACTAAAATATGACCGTAATTCTCCTCTCTTGTAGGTAGTGTATGTTGCTACTCTGGAAAAAATTTAAAACATCAAGAGGTAGATTTACAACGGACTCGTTTTATGCCTTTGGAACAACTTCAAGAGACAAACACAGTGGTAAATTATGCAAAACCATATTTTTTTCCATGTACATTTATATACTTTTTTCATTACTTTTTATATTGTTGATGAATTTTATTCTTTATCACTATTTTCATGATAAAACAGATGTAACATACATACATACATACAAACTGCTAATACTGGTGCCCTGTTTCTCTTTCAGTATACTGAGGTGGTCTTTTCCTCAATATGTGAAGATTTTGAACAGAACCGGTGCTTTTCTGCTACAGCCCAAATAATAAACAGACAAAATTGTACCTGACCTTATATCAGCAGGTCACCTTTGTTTTAAATATACAAATTCATGACATATGCTTACCTGTATAATGAATAAAAAGATATATAAAAAGGGAGCTCTTCCTTGTTTTTTTGTGAAAATCGAAAACATCCACCAACTAGACGATGGCTAGCCAAACTCCTCTCTGCAGAACAAACGTAGGCAGTGTGGTTGGCCTCAGAGTTCAGACAAACTCAGTCATTTTTTCCACTGTACTACCATTCTTTTTCCACTGGAGGTTACAAAAATCATGTGACGGCGATATGTCTAAAGCAAATGAGAATTCTGCTCAAGGCCAAGGGTAAACCACCTGTCTAGAAAACCATGAGATCCTATGCGTCATTTATTGTCAAGTGGCCAACTCAGAGGAACTGAAGATTAGATTAACACTTTATTTGAGCTAAACCACACTGCTTACACTTCTGCTAAGAAGAGCAAAAGATTTGCATGCACAGATTTAATGTCTATTATCTTTAGTGAGATGCAATAAACTTAATCTTGAACAACTGTACCAAATTCATAGTAAAGCAAAGTGTTTATAAAAGAAAAATGATGTGTACACAAACAAGCAAACACTCTGAAATGTCCAACATAATTATGCACAACATATAATGTGATGATATTTATTACATTTTTCAAAGCATGTGAAATGCTTAGTGACATGTAAAAACATTGAAAAGAAGCTGCAAGACCCTCGTGTTGCTGTCCTTCACAGAACAAACCCACAGCACTTACAGGAAGTCAGACTGAACTCTAACCACATTTTGGCCATTTTTTATGCCAAGAGTCAAGTAAAAATGCTACCACCCTACAGGCAGTGTTGTGCTAGTTACTAAGAAATAGTAACTAGTTACAGTTACTAGTTACTTCATTCAAAAAGTAACTCAATTACTTTGTTGATTACTTGCACCAAAAAGTAATGCGTTACTGTGAAAAGTAACTTTTTAGTTACTTTTTTAAAGAAAGTTCTTTAATGTTCCCATTAATGCCCTTTTATGCGTTATGGTCTATACAAACACAAAACTGACTTAAACAGAAAGTAATTTTTAAACACTATTTTATTTAAGTCAGACCAGCACAAACTGAATATATCACAAGGATTTCTGAAATAAATAACAAAACAAGCATGTGTAAAGCTAGTGATGTGTTTGCTTTCTCAACATTGATATGTTCATGCAGCTGACAGTAATACGTTTTTACTGCATGAATGAATATTTGAGCAATACAATTGTACCTTGATCATTCTTGTTAGTTCATAGTAGGCTAATTAACTAAGGTAATAACAGATACAATAACAATTTAAACTCAATTTCAAATGTATTAAGTAAATGTTGAAATTAAAAAACTAACAATGAATGATACTTCTACAACATTTATTAACCATATTTAATGCTAAAATTGTAATCTCATTGTAAAGTGTTACCATTTTATATGATTCAAGCTTATAGAAGATGGCCATATTTAAATATCTGCAAAGGCCAGAGCATTAAAATTACATAAATGTAGACCTATATATTACATGTATAGTCTTTCACTTTATTTGCTTAAATTTTAGAACACTTGATTAGGAAACTTGATGTCGCTGCATGAACATATCAATGTAAGCAATCACGTCAGCTTTAAAAATACAACTTCGCCGGCTAATGAATGCATAACAGTGACCAGCTGGATATAAACTAATGCAAATAGATGGTAACAATTGCGACATAAAACATGTGGGTCAGGTCTGCGTGTGTTTTGGTCACATTGCTTTAATCGCTTGAGGTAAGTTAGCCGTTACTAATGTTATTCCTCTCAGACTCGACGGCAAGCTTCTGTTCTTTCTCTGTTGATGCAGCATCTAGACAAAATATTACTTTATAATGATATGGCAATGTGTTCTTTAGTGTTCTGTATTCATACCGTTTCGCTGTCTGTGTTTTAAATGCGCATCTGAAGTGCTCAGCGCTCTCCGTGCAGCTTGTAATCTCCGTGCTCGCGCGGCCTCACGTGTTAACGTAAACAACTCAGCCAGTGAGTTTATGTGTCCTCTCGCTCTGTATAATGCTAGCAGTCTCTTCAGTGATCTCGTACTGTGTAACAGCGCACACTTCTCAGCCGCTCCAGCAACTAATTAATTTAAAAAAGTAACGGACAACGCACCATATGGTAACGATAACGGAGTTACTTTATTTAAAAAGTAATGCGTTACAGTATTAGTTACTGTCAAAAGTAACTGCGTTACAGTAACGCGTTACTAGTAACGCGTTACTGCCCAACACTGCCTACAGGTTACATATATTTAAGCATTTAGTTAAATTTCTTTTAAAGTTTAAAGGGTTAGTTCGCCCAAAAAAAATATTGTATTATCATTTACTCACCCTCATGACGTTCCAAACCTGCAAGATTTTCGTCCATCTTCAGAACACAAATGAAGACCTTTTTAATGAAATCTGAGAGATTTCTGTCCCTCCATTGACAGTGTACGCAACTACCACTTTGACGCTTCAAAAAGTTCATAGAGATTGTAAAACTAATCATGAATCAAGCGGTTTAGTCCAAATTTTCTGAAGAGACTTTATATGATAAACAGATTTGATTCAACTTTTATACACAGATCATTTTCATTTTTGGGTGAAGTTTATGCCCTCTGCCTATCTACTAAATTGCAGTACCATCATCTATCCATCCATACATTTTACAAACCGTTTGTTCTATCTTACAGGGATCCTGAAGCCTATTCCAGTACCTGTGAACGGTTAGCTAGAAGGATCTATCGAGTTCAGTTAACTCTTTCTCCGTCATTCATGAGAAAACGCTTCCCTGCCATTGAAGGAATTTTCTGGCCTTCCATGTTTTCCCTGTTATTCGGTAGGGGGCGCTATTACACATCTTCTGAAAGAATACTGAATCTCCTAATCAATAGACATGTGAAGAAAATTAAGAAACAAGCAAGGGCTGTGAAGCTTTGGAAATGTTGATGAACGCAATCCTCCATCTTTGTTTTTGATTATCGTTCTAAATCCCATCCGGACGTTGTCTTCGACAAAAACACAATATTTTCAGCTTTTTTGTTCAGAATGTTGCTTTTTTATGAACCTTAACCACATTCAAGTGTTAATGTAAAAAGAGTGCATGAGTTCAGTCAATGTTAGTGGACACCCAAGAAATGTGTAAAGCCGTGAGTGAATCCTACTTGTGGCAACATACTTGACAGGAAAAAGACATTACACTTTTTACAGAAAATGTCTTTAATTTACCTCAACAAACAATGTTTAAAAAAAAAAAAATCAACAGCATTCAATTTTGGAACGACATGACGTTATAGTAAATAATAATAGAATTTTAAAGTCACTATGAAATCAAAATTGGCAGTTCTTATGTTTTAATGGAACATTGCAGTTTTTATTATAAATTATCATTATTATTATTTTTTTTCCAACTTTAAGCTTTTCTTAAACTTGCCAATTGTTAAATTTGGGATGTGAATTTCACTTTCTGTGAAATAAAGCTGTGAATAAAAGCTCAGTTTGCTTGTGACGTGATTTCCTCGAGTGTACCTTTAGCCATGAGCAAAAGTATAACAACGAACTGTAATTCTAAAGTAGATCTTAAACTCAAATGCCCTGAAGTTACTTGCTACTAGTAGCTTTAGAACCAGTTGCACTCTGAAGCTATGGTCGAGTCTCATCAGTACCTGAATTGGAGGTTTTTGCAGGTGTAGGTGATAGGGAGGCCAGAAAGACGTGCTCACCTTGACACTTGCAGAGTTTGTACTATCCCAGTATGGTCCTGTCCTAATGGTGTTTTTTTTGTAATGGCCTGTATGTTTGGGTGAAGTCCACAAGAGAGAAGGGTGTACCATTTGTGATATTTGGTTTTAGAATGAACCAAACACACTTGAACCAAACACACTTGAACTTTGTTTTTTGTACTTATGCTAGGTGTCATACACCTGGTTTCCACAGAGGACTACTACCGTCATATAGCAGACTCTCATACCCTTATACTGGTGCTCCTGGAGACCTACTGTCCTGCAAATTATTGCTTCAACCCCAATCAACACACTTGAACAAGGATGGTTCTTTTGGATCTCTTGAAAATTACCGCCAGGTGTGAAACTTTGCAGGACAGTCAGTCTCCAGGAACAGACAGTATCATGTAAAAAAGGCACTATCCTTTGGAAGAAATTCTGACTCTCAGAGAAAATGCTTGGCACTGAGGTAGTACCCCCAAAGGCAGTGGTGTGCACTTTTAATGCCCTTTTTTAATCGCTAATATTAGTGTAAAAAACTCCCTTTCGGCCGTATTGCCGTGTCCCTTGACTTGAACTGATGAGGACTCCCCCACCCCCAAAGCATCTTGCATAGTATTCAAGGTATACATTTTATCAGTGTCTATCCCCTACAAGTGATCCATCCAGAGTGTTTCCCAACCTAGGCTCCAGCCTCCCTACGACCCTACATAGGTCCTGCAGTTTGGAGAATGGGTGGTAGTATTCCCTGGGCATCAGAGCCAGGGTCATGGCTTGGTGTTGCTAGCACCATGCTCTAATATTTGAGCTAAAGGAACTTCAACTTTAACATTGTGTCTTTTCCGGGCAAGAGCAGCGCAACTAAAGACATAGAACCCATTATAATATGTGATGCTGTCTACACTGGATGTTGCGTGGGGCGACAGTAAACTGATGCCATGTTCTCTTTCTGATGCACTCCAAAAGTGCTTGCGCTGGCACAAAGGACAAATAAATTTGCAATGGTCACTTTGTCACATCTAGTGTAGACAGCCTCAAGCTGTGGCAGCGTGACGCGACAACAGTCACATCCAGTGTAGACGGAGTAAGACCCTTTAGGGGAGGATAAAGGTACAAAGGTGTTACCTTGAGCTTACTACCCCAGTGATAAGCTGGTGTACCCCTAAAATAAATGTTTTCCACATTTTCTCTAATAGTGTATGTTGTAAAAAAAAATCGCTTGTTTGCTTTCTGTGTAACAGGTCAGTGGATCTTTAACAGATGGCTGGCACTGAATTTGTTTGCTATGACAGGCATGTAGTCGAACAGGAAACAAGTTCAGATAATGATCACATTATGCAG